AATGCTTTAAATTCATGCCAGGGTCTCCTGCTTTTTCCCTTAAGCATAATCCCATACAGTGTCAATTATTTATCCTCTGACTGAAGATTTAAGCACATAAGGAAGAATGGCCCCTCTCACCCATGGCGACATGGATGATCTAGGGTTAGGAGATAGGTTTTGATGAATGAAGACTGAAGAATATTGCTTGACAGTGCTTTTTAGTATTAATGTTATTTTAAATGTAGAAGTAAAACTTGGTTATTGCAGCTTTGATTAACAGTTAGCTTTGTACCAGCACATGAGAAGTTTTGTTCATTTAAGCAGAACTCGTTCAGGATGAAGAGTGTATGAATGTGAGCATAAGAAATGCTGTGGTTATTCTTCATACATGCCGAGAAGGCTTGTTAATCTTGTATGGCTAGAACAGAGGCCACAGAGTGATGGCAGCAAACTAGAGTGTGATTTTTCTGTCTCATTGAAGTTGTTGCTGCACTTTCCTTGGATTCATGCCTATTGCTTGAGATCTTACCTGCCTGTCTCAGCAACTCTGCTTCTCCTGATATTTTAGTAACTGCCTAGTGACACTTTTTGACACATTTATCAACATGTGGCAAAAATATTGTCCTTGAGACATAAGCTGCTTCAGGCTCTGATAGGTATTGTCACTAAAGTCTGAGGGCTCATACTGTTTGGTATTTTTAGCTTGGTTGTTTACTTTTTGTATATTTTGAAGCAGGCAATTAATTCTTGTGTTAGTGCTGAATTGACAAACAGCACAGAGATAAGCTGATCACAACTATCAGACCTTACTAACAGAAGACAATTTTTGTTCTTGAGGAAAGCTAGCCTGCTTTCCAGTTGCATATGTCGTGTCAGGTTGCTAGAAGGTACGTAATTGTTGTATATTTTTCTCCAGTGAGAAAAACAAGTAACTTCTTAGAAGGGAAAAGTTTATGAAGATAATAGTAACATCAATGTAATTTGTATTGTGCAGCCTCATAATTGGAACAATTGGCAGTTTTATTTGTTCCCAAATGGTTTCAAATGTATGGCTTCTTTCTACTACACTAGTATCTAAAAGATTTCTGTTACGGCCATTGCATGAAAATTCAGTAGCAGACGTTTTCTGAATCAGATGGCTTATAGTTCTCATAAATAAGACAAAAGCTGAGAGGAGAGTTGAGATACAAAGAGGCAGTGTGAGACGTGCAGCAGATCAGAGATAGATTTGCAATCAAAGTGCTCTGACTCTCACCTCTGTGTCTTTAACACCACACCATCCCTGCTGCTTGGGTCTAAGAGTAACTTGCCCCAAAAGAATTGTCATTTAATAGCTGCATTTGAGGGGAGATTCATCTGACAGATGAAGACAGTAGTGAGAGATTAGCCAGGCAGACGAGTCCATAGACCTGTACAGTTCAGTTTTGAGTCTTGGCTATTATTTAGAGATAGTTATAATGGATTCCTGCAATGAAGACTTTGTCAAACCTTAACAGTATTACAATTGTGTTGTTTTGTTTTTCTAGGCAGCCTTACGGAGACTAGCAGTTATGAGTCCTGATGGACTTGAAGATTCAGATTTTCAGCAGCTAGTAAAGCCCAGACTTGTGGATTCCTTTCTGCTATGCACAAATATGGAAGAGAGCTTTGTATAAATGTGAGCCAAAAACCTTTGAAAAATAATCAAGATGATAGGTATACAGTAAGATAATACATATACAATTTTATTTAGCTTTAGTTCTATTGTTATTTATAACTTATTTATTTTAAAACCATGAACATGTGGTTTGTAGGAGCAAAGAAACAGAATGAGCAAACTTGTTTCAGTGGTTTGCAAAGGTAATTTTTTATTTTATTTTCCTGCCAAGACATGTCAACAGACCTCATCACTGCGATCTAACAAAACGTTGCTGTCTTGTTTAATATAGCTGAATAAAGGTAACAAAGCCAAGATTTTGGTGCTCTGATGTTAAATGCTTCCAATAATGTTTAATCACTGATATTTTTCTACAGTTACAACATTTTGCATTTTTTTAAAGGAATGCTTTAGTCTCATGTATTTGCTGCATTAGAAGAAAAATAATCCTTAAAGCTGCAAGCATATACTTTGAAATGAAAGGGATGTTACAGTCTGAGTCCAGTTCTTAACTGTTGTTATTTTTTAATAGAATTATGAAAATATGTAACTGTGATTAGCTGAGAAAATTTTTCAGATAATTGTCAAATATTGGCTTGAAATTATGTTAGAGGACATTCTTATGCTGTATAAAGATGTGCTCCGTTAGTGGATACACACTTGCAGACAACTCCCTCATTTACATTTACTGAAATTTCCTAAAGAAATTGAGAGAATTCTAGACAAATCTTTATGAAATCAAACTCATGTTATCAATGTGGAAGTATCCACATTAGATTTAAAATCATTACACACTGATAATTTTCCCTCCTTTCCAAGCCTTACAGGAACTGGAAGTGAGCATGTCCAGACATGTTTTTAATATTCAAGCTACTACTTTTGTGAAAAGTTGTGCATGTATACAGTAAATAATCAGAACAGATAAATTAATTGTAACTTGAATTTCCTTGTTTCTGTTTTTCTAACTAGTCCTGTATTTCTAAAACTGTGAAATGGGACTTTCAGGAGCTCTTGGAGTTGACAAAAGGAGATTTTACCAATGGATAACAACATAAAGAATAGGTTTTTTTAAAATAGACTTGTCTTTTTCATGAACATTCCTCTTAAAATTTGCCTTTTTCTTTTCATCAAGAAACCATATAAATTTAAAACTACTCAACCAGTAATATCTTGAGACTGTTTTTCCACCCCAACTTCTCACAAAGCACTCTGTAGATTATGAAAGGATATGTATTTTTTTCTTGACGGCTTGCAACTATTGCCCTGGATCATTTTATGATCAGCAGCTTCAGGGTACTAGGACATCTGCCAAAAAAGTAAGTACATTTCTTCTTCACTGTACTTACTTTGTAGATATGTTAAGCAGCTTAATTCATTAATGTTTATTCAGTATTATGTGGTGTTTAGATGAAAGGCACCAGGAAATTGCTAAGCTGTGATTGCCTTCCGCATTTTCTGTGTCTGAGAAATCTGTCCTGCTTCAAGCAGTCATAAATGGTGGCTACTTTTTTCTCCCCTTGAGTATATAGGTTAAGAAGTCTCTGCCTTAACATTTCTTCCTTGTGATCTCTTCATTTAGCTATGAGCTCTATCTTGACTGAAGTTTTAAAACATTAGAAAACATACAATGACCTCTGTCATAAGCAACTACTCAAAGATAAGTGTTGAATCAGATGTTACACAGATGTAATTTTCTAGTAAGAGCAGAGATGAATTCTGCTTTGTTTGCTTATTTTGAGACAGCTCCTTAAACTTCCAAGATTGGTAAGATGTATGGTACTGTACAGCTTTAAAAATATTATCCAATTGATGGACTTTAACACTTTCCTCACTAAGCAGAAATACATGTATGAACCATGGATGCTTTAAATGGTAAAATCAACATTCTTGGAATAAACAATGAACTCATAAATCTCATAAAAAGTGAACTGAATAAGGTCCCCTTGCTATCATGCTGATAGCGTAATAATGCCTAATAGAATACAACACATCAATTTCTGTTGTGAATGTGCTGTACCGAACCTCATTCTGTCAGCTGCAACAAACTGAGATATTAGTTTGTAGATGGGGTAAGGTTTATCCCATAATAAGTAAAGTTAAAAACTCATTTAAAAAAAAAGTCCACATGTGTAATGTGAACTGAAGTAGCTATTAAGAAAATGCCATTATCACCCATAATGTTTTAAAGCCATTTCTAACAGGTCAATCAAATATTCAGTAAGCAGGCCAGCAGCAATGAATGAGTCTAATTTGCTCTCAGATACAGTAACATGAATCCACATCAATTGATTTTACTACAGATATTCTCAATCTGTAAATATGTGGCCATAATTCCAGGCCCATATTGTCCACCTACATGTGTTCATATTATGAATGTGTCTGTTTACATTACAGAAACAAAACACATTTAGGTGGACCTCATTTTTGGAGTAGAAAAATGTATCTTGAAAGAGTCACTTCAGGCCTGTTATCACATAAGTGTCATCAAAACCATTTTTGCTAGGCCTGAATTTTCCACCTAAAGTTCTGCACTTCATTTTTGTATATACTAAAATTTATGAGAAAATAAACATAACTCTTCCTTTCCTCTTAATTAACTTAAGAAATAAAAAGTAATTGAAAATACTGAAATACTATTTTCTCATTACTTCTGAATTAATTCTGGATTAAAAATGCTTCCTTTGAAAGTGACCTTTCAGATTTTAAACCAAAAAAAAGGAACAGTTTAAGCCAGGATAAACATGTTTAATTTCAATGTAGTATGAAACAAAATATTTCATATCAAAAGATTTTCACTAAAACATGTATTTTGGGAGATCAATCTTTGGACTCCTTGTGTATATACATATACAGTTAGTAGAGTGAGGTAGAGAGTATGTGTAATACATTTACATATCAATTCATATATGTGGACTCATTGACCTATAGAGACTGCATGTAGGTTAGGTATTAGCTTAATCATTCTGGAAACTGAACGTTAGGCTTGTCAGAAGTGTTGTAGTTTCATTTAATTTTTTCTGAACATTTTAGATTTTGTATGAGATTAGAAATGTTAGACAAACATGCAGTGAACTGCAGAATTCTTTGTAACTTTGATTTACATTCCAGTGACTTTGGATAATGTATTCAAATTTCAGCTTTAGTTTGAACTGTTTACAGATATTCGGGGCCCAGATGCTTCATTCACAGAATAAATTTTTTTTTCTCAGATTGTTGTGTGTTTGGTGCATGAATCATTTATGTCTGACCTGTTCTGTTTAAAATAATATTTGTACCTATAAGGGATAAGATAATGTCTTAGTAAATTGGATGTCTTACCTATTTTTTAGGGTTGCCTGCTAGTATCCGAAAGACAGGACTTGGTCTGTAGGGTGTCACGTTGCCTATAGTACAAGACTGATTCTGGTATCTCATATGGCTTGTTCCAAATATGTATGTTGACCATCTCCTTTTAAAGAACAGCAATAAACAGTCAAAATAACATTGGCTTTTGCATTTTGAGAAATCTGCTTTGATTTTCAGTTTAAATTTATATTAAATTTAATGCATTTAAAGTAACACTCTAGGCACTAAATTATTCACTAGTATTCTCATTTTTAAGGGGAGGGAGGGAAGATGGCACTGAGCATAGGAAGATAGACCTAGAATGAATTTGTTCATTTGAGCTGGAAGCGCTTAGCTGGTGTGGGGGGGTGGGTGAATAGTTTCAGCCCTTGACAGGCTAAAGAACCAGGAAGAAGAAAAACACAGGGTCATCTATTTTAGATACTTATATGCTTTGCAGAAATCCTTATCTCTATTTTCTAGTTTGCTCCTGGGTCTGAGTTTCTCTTTCTCTAGCTGTGACAAATTTCTGCCTCTCAGGAGTGGTATTTGTATATTACTAGTTATCTGAATAGAAGACAGTTAAATTCCAAGGTCCGATCCTGCTAATTATTATATTGATAAGGTTTTGGTGAGAAACTAAGTAACAAAAATAGCTTGTTAAATAAATGTACTCTAGATCACCTAGAACAAAAAGAAATGTGTATTGTTCCCATAACAGGGGGAAGAACCAGCATATTTTCCAGAAAACTTGAGAGAAAACATTTGTATAATAGTCTACTTCCAAGTATTGGTACTTTTACAAGCAGACTTGCTAACTATGAATTGATCAGTCCCCTCCCAAATAATCACTGAATCCAAGTAATAAAAGAAAACCACTACACCTACAGACAAAACACTGGGTAATCAAAGATTTTTCTCTTTCCTTTTCAACAACTAATCAGTGACTTTTTGTTTTAATAATTCAAGTGCGCCTAGAACCCAATGGAACCTATGGGAAACCAGTGCAAAAAAAAAGTGTAGTAGGTAATACTGCTAATTTGCAGTAGAGGGAAGTTCAGAGGGATCAAAAGGCTTAAATGGCACGAAGAAGGAGGTATGTCTAATGCAGTACCTTTTCTACCACTGTTGTGATCACCTGTGTCACAAATGTCTAACCGAAAGGTACACTGCTTGTACCCTTTTCTTCAAGCTTTCTGGATATTACCACTGTCTTTTAATTAGATTTTGTCCATGTCCCCCCCAACCTTTAGAATGTGACCTAATAATGCACAGGTCTTCAAAGTAAATTACTGATTTTGGTGTACATAAAAATTTAGTCTGAATTTTTTTATATATCACATAATGTAAAAATCTTGGTTTTGAGTAGTTCTGGAAGCATATACCTAACAAGATATGTCTGTTATTTATGTCCATCAGGTAAGGCAAAGTTTATGATAAATCCAGAAGACATATCTAAAAAGATCCAGAAACAGCCGTGTGTGTTTTCACTTGCATCAAAAGAATGATTATGGAATGGGCCCAAATAATCTAGGGAAGCCTTCTTTGAAGCTATGGTAAGTCAGTGCCTGCACTGCAGTAAAGAAGAGCCAGAATTAAACCCCAGGTTTCAAGTTTCTTGCTAGAATTAGAACTGGAGAGATCTAACACATAAAATAAAATAAACATAAATAAAATCTCACAATATGAAGCTAAGGATAATCGACTTGTAAAATTTTGTGATAAACATGAACATTTAAGGAGTACACTTTGTACATTAAGCAATGTACTTGTTTACACATGCTTGCTTCCACTTCCAAAACAAGATACAATGCTCTTTGTCATGGTGCTCAACTTTTGTACTGCTTAATTATTAAAAAGGACACACTTTTTTTCAAAGCAGC